TAGAAAGCCTCATCTTTCTCCCGCGGAGCAGCTGGTAGTTTCGAACCGCTGACCTTAAGGTTCGCAGCCCGATTCGTAACCACTACGCTACCAGAGCTCTTAAAATACTTACTCAGCAATTTTTTCATTTATCAGGGTATTTTGGATATCTTTCAAATCAGAATATAAAAACATGTATTGTTCTTTAAATATTTCCTTTGTATGTTGTTATTAAGTGTCGTTGAGTTGGTTCCAACTCATAGTGACATTGTGTAGGGTTTCCAAGGAGCATCTTATGGGTTTGAACCTTGCAGTTAGCAGTCCAGTGCTTGTCCTGCAGTGCCACACAAGGACTACTTTGTCTAGAGCTACCAAAATTGACCCCAGTGATGAATATGAACCTCCCATTGACAGTCATTCTAGCTTTTTCTTAGCAAAGGATGGGATGAATAGTTTTTATACATATCTTTTTGTGCATTTGTACAAATATCACTTCAGAAATTTCAGGAAACAAACTTTAGTCAGAAGTTAATGTATTTTACATACTGACGATAATGTCTAAAGTATCCTTCAAGAAACATGCATTTATGAGGGTAAGTTAGAAAGTATTGCTACTAGGTTCCAGTTTATATATGCAAGGATTTATTCTAAACAAAATGTGTCTAAATATCGAAAGATCAGGGATGGCTACAGATAAGTTTTCTAAGTAATAAATTTTTCTAAATCTATTAAATACTTTCAAAATTAAAGATCCAGGTCGAAACAGTGGCTTTTAAGGGGATCTGCTAAATCAGTTCAATTCAAGACAGAGAGGTCAGTTCATAAGACTATGGTGACTATGTTTGGGAATTCTAAACTGGTAATCATGACAGATTTTCTCAAAGGACACAGGATGATCATGAGGACTTATTATGAAGAAGTTTTAATAAATTGGAAAACTGCATTGGTGAGAAAAAGGCCAGGAAAGTTGCACTGAGGAATTTTTTCCATCATAACAATGCACCTACTCATTCTTCATGGGTGACAAGGGCTGTCATGTGAGAATTTCTTAGGGAAATCTTACCTCACCCACCTTATAACCTTGCTCTTGCCCCTCCATACTTTTTTGTTCCTCAAACACACACACACACACACACACACACACAAATATTTAAAAGGAACATGATTTGAGCACCTTGAGGATACCTAAACTGCCATTTTGTTATTTGTTGTTGTTATGTGCCGTGGAGTCAGTTCTGACTCATAGCGACCCTGTACAGGGTTTCCGGGGCTGTAAATCTTTACGGGAGCAGAAAGCCTCATCTTTTGCCCGCGGAACAGCTAGTAGTTTCAAACTGCTAACCTTGTGGTTCGCAGCCTGATTCGTAACCACTATGATACCAGAGCTGCCATTTTGATATGGTGTTAAATTGAAGAGTGCAGAATTTGGGGGAAAGGGTTATAGAGATAGAAACACTGCCTTCAGAAGTATATGGACCCAGATGAGGTTACACCGAGAAATAACTGTTTCCCTTTTGTGTGTGTGTGTGTGTGTGTGTGTGTGAGACAGTGTCTTTCTAACTGTTTCACTTTTTGATATTTTTGTTTAACAAAGGTTTCTCTGATATTGCAGCAATATTTTTTTACTTATCTTCATAATCTACTGTCATCGGTTGCATATGCCAGTTTCTGTACAACTTGTCCAACAGTAGTTATAACTAAACTGCATATTACTTCTGGCCTGATAGGTTTAAAAATATCTCATTGTTTAAAATTGCGTTTTCTTAATCATGAAACATCTGGAGTTCATTATGTTTGGGCTTTGTTTTTCTTTTTCTGTGAACTCTGGTTATGAATTTAGGCAGTTGAATTAGCATGGCTAATCCTAAGTGGTAGCGTAGTGGTTACAAATCGGGCTACGAACCTTAAGGTCAGCGGTTCGAAACTACCAGCTGCACCGCGGGAGAAAGATGAGGCTTTCTACACCCGTAAAGATTTACACCTTCGGAAACCCTATACAGGGTCGCTATGGGTCGGAAACGACTCGATGGCACATAACAACAACAACAACAATCCTAAGTGGTAGAGTCCTTGTGTGGCGCTGTGGGCTAATGCACTGGACTGCAAAGTCAGTTTGAAGTGCAAAGTCGGTGGTTCAAGCTCCCCAACTGCTCCTTGGAAACCTTGCACAGGGTCGCCATGGATTGGAACCAACTCTACAGCACTTAACAACAACATTCCTGAGTGGTAAACTGAATTTCATTAAAGATATGTCCCCAAAAGCTCTATATATATAGCTTAAAAGGCATGTTATGCTTGGCATTAACTCAGTGGGTTGGACACTCCATATTGAAAATGTAATGAGTAACAAGACAAGGGCTTCAGAATGGGTGATGTTGCCTTCATCCTCTGCAATGATGACTCCTCTTCTCTGCTCTGAGGCCCATCCTTTACTCTGATCCTCCATGAGGAACTAAAGGTGGTGGAATATGATGGCAAAAGCCTACAGGGGTCAAGGAGCCCTGGGAAAAGCCCAGCAAGGTATACCCACAATGTATGAATCTGGATAGACAAGATCACTCTTTATCTATTGCTACGCCTAGACTGAGCACCACGCATGAAAATACAAGGTCCTGCTTCCAAGGAAGCCCAGTCTACTTAGATTCCTTGTTTATCCTATGGAGTGCATGAAGCCCATTGTCTAATGGTGATTAGTTAAATTAGTTTAATACTTGGTGATTAATCAGAGAACATAAAAAACTAACAGGGTGTGGTCACAATAACTATCAGCATTCACATGAAACCAAGCATCATTCTTACTCACCCAAGGGCTTTGCACGTATTTAAGTGTTCAGTCCTCACACCCACCTCATGAGGCTTGTTGATGTTGTTAAGTGCCATCAAGTCAGTTCTGACTCATAGCGACCCTGTATAGGGTTTCTCAGGAGTGACTGGTAAGCTTGAACCACCAACCTTGTGGTTCACACCAACCTTGCAGTCCAGTGAATTAACCCACAGCACCACACTAGAACTCCTCTCATGAGGGTAGGGGTCAAATAAGTCATCTGAGGTCATACAGTTAATAAATGGCAGAGCCAAATATCTCCCTCAAGTCCACATTTTCCCTTTTACCACCAAGCCCTCTGTAAAGATGAAAGTGTTGATAGGGAACAGGTTTGTCCTTGAGTCTGTGGAGAGAGAGAAGAACTGGGACAATGCAAGATGGGGTTGTGACTTGAGTTCCTAAGAAGTAGGACTCAGGTTTCCTCATTTCCCGCAGGCTTCCCCTGTCATCACAGGGCCATTACAGTGGGTAGTGTGTGTCGTGTGAGGGCATCCAAGACCCTGCAGTATGCCTCTGCTCTGGATCCCCACACAGGAAACTGGAAGGGTTTTTGAAATGCGATGATTAAAATATATACTGCTAGGTTAGATAGACCGTGATTTTGGTTTAAATGACAATGTCTTTATTCCCATTTAGGAGCAGTTTTTTTTACAAAAACCTGGTCTGAAATCAATGAATTATGGAAACATCAGTGAACGTGTTGAATTGAGGAAACGTTTGGGCTGCAAGTCATTCCAGTGGTATTTGGACACTGTCTTCCCGGAGTTGGAGGCATCTATGAATGACTCATGAAACAAAAGTGTATCGATTCCATTAATAAAGGGTTAAAACATCCCTAATCCTCAACACAGAGGTCTAAGAGTACAAATTTGGAGTATCATGAAACTATGTGAAATGGAAAAAGAAATACAGAAAAGTTGTTTGATTTGCAAGAGGAGTTCTTCGCTCCCCCCCAGTCCCGCAATAATGATAGTTCTTCACTGCTACTAGATTTCTGGGGTGACAAGACCTTGAATACTAGAAACAGAAGTTGTCACACAATTTGTTAAAACCTATCATATAATTGATTAGAGTAAGGCATACTGTGTCCAAAAGTTATTTGCCAAACTTCCTTCTTTCTGGTGGAGTACAGAAACGGCTTTGTTTTTGGAGCCTCTGCCAACAGTTTCTCCTCCACCTAGGCCACTCTGACACTGGTTGTCCTTCTTAGTGAGACAGCTGCAGAATGCCTGATTGGCACTTTACAGAACTTAGCCAGGTTGTACCAAGCTCCTTTCTGGCTAAGGTGCAGATCCTGGTTTTGATGCCTTGCTTGGTTGTTGTTGTTAAGTGCCATCACGTCAGTTCCAACTCACAGCAACCCTGTATAGGGTTTCTGAGGACTAGCAGTGGGTTTGCACTGCCAGCCTTGCAGTTCAAATCAATCTTGCAGTACAGTGCTTATTGTATAGCACCACACCAGGACTCCCTTGCTTGTTTGGGCTCCTGAATTTCTGATGCCAATCAGTCACTTGTCTGGGCTTCTTGTTCAGTTCTGTGGACCAGCTGCTGTTAAAGAAAATTTCAGAGACTGAAACAAATTTTATATTTACAATGACTTCATTTGAACAGGGTCAAACGATTCATGAGTCAGGCAGCATCCAAACGGAAAGTGGAAAGAAGCTCCACTGATGGAGAAAATGTCAAGGGTTTATGTGTAATGAAAACAAGGGTAAAGGATGTTCCAATAGCAGAGTCATAAATGTGGCAGTTGGTGATCACACAGTGTCTTAACTGCACATACAACCAGAGGAATTATTCATTTAGGTCTGGTATCAGAACATGGGAACACTGAATGTTTTAAAATTGGGAAAGGTGTGAGACAGGGTTGTGTTCTTTCACCAACCTTATTCAACCTGTATGCTGAGCAAATAATTCGAGAAGCTGGGTTCTATGAAGAAAAACGTGGCATCAGGATTGGAGGAAGACTCATTAACAACCTGCGATATGCAGATGATACAACCTTGATCACTGAAAGTGAAGAGGACTTGAAACATTTACTTATGAAGATCAAAGAGCACAGCCTTTGATATGGATTACATCTCAATGTCAAGAAAACAAAAATCCTCACCACTGGACCAATAAACAACATTCTTATCAATGGAGAAAAGATCGAAGTTGTCAAGGACTTCATTCTTCTTGGATCAACTATCAACACTGGCGAAAGCAGCAGTTAAGAGATCAGATGACGTATTGCATTGGGCAAATCTGCTGCACAGGAACTTTTTAAAGTATTGAAGAGCAGAGATGTCAGCTTGAGGACTAAGGTGTGCCTGACCCAGGCCATTGTGTTTTCAATAGCCTCATATGGATGCGAAAGCTGGACAGTAAATAAGGAAGATCGTAGAAGAATTGATGCCTTTGAGTTGTGGTGTTGGAGGAGAATACTGAAAGTGCCATGGACTGCCAAAAGAACCAATAGATCTGTTTTGGAGGAAGTGCAGCCAGAGTGCTCCTTGGAGGCCAGGATGGCTAAGCTTCGTCTCTCATACTTTGGACATATTGTCCGGAGGAAACAGTCGCTGGAGAAGGATGTCATGCTGGGTAAGGTGGAGGGTCAGAGAAAAAGAGGAAGACCCCTAACGAGATGGATTGGCCAGGTGGCATCATTGATGGCCTCAAGTGTGGCAGCGGTAGTGAGGTTGGTCCAGGATCGGACATTGTTTCGTTCTGCTGTGCATGGGGTCGCTATGAGTCGGTTCTGACTCGACAGCACCTGACAACAACAACAACATCTATTTGTTGTTGTTAGATGCCATCGAGTTGGCACGGACTCATAGAGATCCTAAGCACAACAGATCAAAAACATGCCCAGTCCTGTGCCAACCTCACAATCATTGCTACAGTTTGAGTCCATTGCTGCTGCCATTATTCCAATCTATCTCATTGGGGGTTTTCCTCTTTTTTGCTGACCCTCCACTTTACCTAGCATGATGTCATTCTCCAGGGACTGGTCCCTCCTGATAATGAGATACGAAGTCAGGCCATCCTGGCTTCTCAGGAGCATCTGACTATACTTCTTCCAACACAGAGTTGTTTGTTCTTCTGGCAGTCCATGGTATTTTCAATATGTTTCTTCAACACTATAACTCAAATGCATCCATTTTTCTATGGTCTTCCTTATTCACTGTTCAACTTGCACAAGCATATAAAGTTACTGAAAATACCATGACTTGGGTCAGGCACACCTTAGTCCTCAAACTAATATCTTTGTTCTTGAACACTTTAAAGAAGTCTTTTGCAGCAGATACGTCTAATACAATATATCATTTGATTTCTTGACTGCTGCTTCCTTGAGTGTTGGTGGTTGATCCAAACAAAACGGTGTCTTTGACAACTTCAGGTTTTTCGCCATTTATCTGGACATTGTTTATTGGTCCAGTGGTGAGGAGTTTTGTTTTCTTTACATTAAGGTGAAATCCACACCAAAGGCTGTGGTCTTTAATCTTCATCAATAAGTATTTTAAGTTTTCTTCGCTTTCAACAAGCAAGTATCTATGAGCAGGTTATTGCCTTAAGAGTTTGGGCTGGTCTCAATTTTTCAGTTATTATGCTCCAGCAAGTCTGGGGGATGTCTTTTTTTTTTCTTTTTTTTACACTGCCCACTTTGTTCCCATAGACACTGCTGTCACTTGGAAGCTGTACTTCTTTCTTGCTTCTGATTTTGCCTTTTTCATGTCTGGCTCATATCTAGGTTGTGTATCATATGGTTAGTCTACACTCTGACACTTGACAACTGTGTAGTTGGGACCAGGGAAAAGGAAGCAAGGGTGCCATATTTCTCCTACATGCACAACCCCAGGTGTCTAAAGTACTTCTGTGGGGTTAGAAAGATCACTTTCAGGCTCATTCTCATGAGGATGGCTAAAACAATGAAATATTTAATTCATGAAGAAAATAAAGAGAAAAAGGAAATGAGGGAAGAAACCATCGAATGGGGCAAAAGAGGGTGGGGAACTTCAGATAGGATCACAGAACATAGCCAATGCTGAAGAAAAGATAAGCTACTTTTCACAACAGAGAAATAGGCCTGATACATTGTTCTGCTTATGCCATTAGCAAATATGTTTGTACTCTAAACCAGATCCCCTTTACAGCTGGTGATGGGGCCATGAATGGAGCAAGCAAACATCTCTCACTTCAGAGAGCTCGGAATCTTTGAGATTATACAACACAAATAAAAAAGGACCCAGTGTGGGACTTCTTTATACCTGTTTAACAGATTATTGTATAAAAACCTTTAAAATGTCAATCTGTCATCAGCTACATGTTCAAATTTCTGATATAAGTAATTCTCAAGTTGAGAACTGAGTGGCTACTAATTTGCTACCTCGGCCAGAGATTAAGTTCCGCTGTGAACTTGGTTGAACCTCAGCATAGTGATCCTGCTTGGTCGTCTTAGAGCAGGTGGTGGTCTGGCAACATCTTGCGTGTGGGGTCCCCAGCTGGTCTC